GGAGCCCCTTAGCATTGCGCAGAGCCTTGGATTTTGTACGATTCTGTTGGATCTTGCCATGCTTTTATGCATCTGTGGGAAGTGATAATGGGGCTTTCTGGCTTTCTTTAATCTGTTGCTATCATGAGTTGCATTCATTGGTTTCCCAGTATTAAACCAGTCTTGTATTCCCGGAATCAGATCCCCTCGGTCATGATGCTTCTTATATATTATCATATCAATTTGCCAATATTTACCTTAATATTTTTGTATGTGTGTGGATGAAGGATATCAGTCTGTAGTCTTTAAGGAACTGCTTTGTCTAGTTAACGGTATCAGGGTAATCCTGGCAGCTTTGGTGTCCATGTATCATTGGCCGCATAAAATCCCTGGGGAAGTATTTATATTCTGAAAAAGTTTCTATATGTTGGTATTACTTCTTGCTTCAATGCTTGACAAGGCACTGGTAAAGCTATTTAGGCATGGTTTTTTTGTGCGTGTCTTATTTCATTTTTTAGAAAAAATATGAATGCAGTTTTTTTAATAGGTATTCAGGTTTTCTATTTCTTTTTGAGTCACTTTTGATCATTGGTATTTTTTCCAAAATCCATCCATTTCATCTAAATTATCAAATTTATTTGGTAAAAAGTTGTTCACAATATTCCTTTGTTTTCCTTTTAATGTGTATAAGCGACGTCCCCTCTTTCATTCCTAATTGTGGTCATTTGTATCTTCTCCCATTTTTCTTGATTGTTCTAATTAGAGTTATCAACTTTATTCAAGTTTTGAAATAACCAGCTTTGGTTTTATGGATTTTTTTCTTTGTCCGTTTCCTATTTCTTCGATTTCTGTTCTATTTTCTTCTTTGTCTATCTTGTGTTTAATATGCCTTTTCTAACTTCTTAAGGTAGAAACTGAAATGACTGGTTTTCAACCTTTTCCATCTTAAACATTTAAAGCAGCAAATTCCCTGTGAACACTGCTTAAACTGTGTTTTACATATCTGATGTATTATTCTTTAGTTTTCATTTAGTTCTAAACATATTCTAATTTCCCTCGTGATTTCTTCTTTGAACAATGGTTTATTTAGAAATATATTGTTTAATTCCCAAATGTTTGGATATTTTGCAGATATCTTTTTGTTACTGATATTGATTATTTTGGTATTAGAGAATGTACTCTATGATTTTATAGTCTTTTATACTTTGAGGCTCATTTTTATGTCCTAACATATAATGTCTCTTAGTGAATATCTCATATGCACTTGAACATAATGTGACCTTGAGCAGGTCTTGTACTTACTCTAAATTTGAGGTTTCTTGTCTGTAAGGGGTGCCCTCTGATTGCACATAAGAAGCATGCAGCAGGAGGCTTTGACATGTGGGTTTTCGTTGGTTCTGATGTGCCTGTGTCTTGATCTCTCAGATGGCGTGTGAGTCAGAACACCGTCCCTTGGGTGTATTTGAGTGCCAGCTCTGTGCCTTGACAGCTCCATACAGCTATGTGGGGCAGAAGCCCCCCAACACCCAGTCTGTCATGTGAGTACCAGTGTCCAGTGGCCCAAGTAGCCCCGCCCAAGCTGGCTGCCTTGAGTCTGACACTTGGCTTGGGCATTGGCTTTAGACCCACCCTGCCCAGCTCTGGACGTTTCACTGTGGCCTGAGGGGGCACGGGGCAAGGCTCAAGGGCCATCCAGCTCTTCCTGAACCTGCGAGCCCCTTCCTTCCAGCTGAGCCTGGAGTCCAGCACCTTCTCCAGCTGGGGATAGCAGCACTGTGACTCAGGCTGGAACTGCTCAGCAGCTGGGCGTGGACGGAGCTGCGGCCGGGGCTTGTTCCATCCTGCTGGTTGTCCGCGGAAAGCCTGCCTGCCTGCGGCTCTTGCAGTGGTGGGAGTGAGGGCTGAGGGCGGCTTCCTCTGAGCTG